ACAAATAGCTGAGAAAAGAAGAGAAGCTAAAGGCAAAGGAGAAAAAGAAAGATACACCCATCTAAATGCAGAGTTCCGAAGAATAGCAAGGAGAGATAAGAAAGTCTTCCTAAGTGATCAGTGCAAAGAAATAGAGGAAAACAGTAGAATGGGCAAGACTAGAGATCTCTTCAAGAAAATTAGAGATACCAAGGGAACATTTCATGCAATGATGGGCACAAAAAGGACAGAAATGGTATGGACCTAACAGAAGCAAAAGATTAAGAAGAGGTGGCAAGAATACACAGAAGGACTGTGCAAAAAAGATCTTCATGACCCCGATAATCACGATGGTGTGATCACTAACCCAGAGCCAGACATCCTGGAATATGAAGTCAAGTGGGCCTTAGGAAGCATCACTAGGAGCAAAGCTAGTGGAGGTGATGGAATTCCAGCTGAGCTATTTCAAGTTCTAAAAGATGATGCTGTGAAAGTGCTGCACTCAATGTGCCAGCAAATTTGGAAAACTCATCAGTGGCCACCGGACTGGAAGAGGTCAGTTTTCATTCCAATCCCAAAGAAAGGCAATACCAAAGACTGTTCAAACTACTGCAAAGTTGCACTCATCTCACATGCTTACAAAGTAATACTCAAAATTCTCCAAGCAAGGCTTCAACAGTACATGTACTGAGAACTTCTAGATGTTCGAACTGGATTTAGAAAAGGCAGAGGAACCAGAGATCAAATTGCCAACATCCATTGGATCATCGAAAAAGAGAGAGAGTTCCAGAAAAACATCTACTTCTGCTTTATTGACTATGCCAAAAGCTTTGACAATGTGGGCCACAACAAACTGTGGGAAATTTTTAGAGATGAGAATACCAGAGAATACCTGCCTTCTGAGAAATCTGAATGCAAATCAAGAAGCAACAGAACCAGACATGGAACAACGGTCTGGTTCAAAATTGGGAAATGAGTACGTCAGGGCTGTATATTGTGACCCTGCCTATTTAACTTATATGCAGAGTGAAAGTGAAAGTTGCTCAGTTGTGTCCCAACTATTTGCGACCCCATGGACTATGTATATAGTCCATGGAAATCTCCAGGCTAGAATACTGGAGTGGGTAGCTGTTCCCTTCTCCAGGGAATTGTCCCAACCCAGGGATTAAACCCAGGTCTCCCTCATTGCATGCAGATTCTTTACCAGCTGAGCCACTAGGGAAGCCCTCTATGTGCAGAATACATCATGTGAAATGCTGGATGAAGGACAAGCTGGAATCAAGATTGCCAGAAGAAATATCAATAATCTCAGATATGCAGATGACACTACCCTTATGGCAGAAAGCGAAGAGGAATTGAAAAGCCTCTTGATGAAAGTGAAAGAAGAGAGTGAAGAAGCTGATTTGTAACTCAGCATTCAGAAAACTAGAATCATGGCATCTGGTCCCATCACTTCGTGGCAAATAGATGGGGAAATAATGGAAACAATGAGAGACTATTTTCTTGGGCTCCCAAATCACTGCAGATGGTAATGCAGCCATGAAATTAAAAGACACTTGCTTCTTGGAAGAAAAGCCATGACCAACCCAGACAGCATATTAAAAAGCAGAGACATTGCCAACAAAGGTCCATCTAATCAGAGCTATGGTTTTTCCGGTAGTTAGGTATGGATGTGAGAGTTGGGACTGTAAAGAAGGCTGAGTGCTGAAGAATTGATGCTTATGAACTGTGGTGTTGGAGAGGACTCTTGAGAGTCCCTTGGACTGCAAGGAGATGAAACCAGTCCATCCTAAAGGAAATCAGTCCTGAGTATTCATTGGAAGGACTGAAGCTGAAGCTGAAACTCCAATATTTTGGCCACCTGATATGAAGAACTGACTCATTGGAAAAGACCCTGGTGCTGGGAAAGACTGAGGCAGGAGGAGAAGGGGACAACAGAGGGTGAGATGATTGGATAGCATCACTGACTCAATGGATATGAGTTTGAGCAAGCTCCGGGAGTTGGTGATGTATAGGGGAGCCTGATGTGCTGCAGTCCATGGGGTCGCAAAGAGTTGGACATGACTGAGCGACTGAAGACGCTGGTGCTACCATCCTATATCACACATGAGACTAGAGGCACAGAGAGGTTGAGCACCTTGCTCCAGGTCACACAGCTGGTGACAGCAGAGCTGAGAACTGACCCACTGTAGTTGAATCTGGAGTCTAGATGCTGTTATGACCTGAGGGAGCAGCAGAGACAGAGTGAGGGAGAAATAGATGCCCAGACTTAGCCAGGCACACATGCATGCACACATATACACATATGTGAACATGACTTTCACCTTTGAGGCTACAGGAGTCAGATTAAACCAGGGGGCAACCAGGAGAGACCAAAGGAGGGTGGAGGTCTATTAGGAGGAAAGACCATACTTCCCAGGAGATCAGGGAAGTCCCTTACCTGATGAGTCTGTCTCAAACCCTAGATTCCGCTCCCTGGAACCAGGAACTGACTGTGCAGTGACCTAACTGAGTTGACTCCAGACTTACGCATTCCGAGTGGTTCAGCTCCCACTGGACCCCACTGCTCTCAGTAATAAGGTGGGAATGAGGTACGTAGTCTGGGCTTCATATTTGTTTGGAGACAAAATTTATTAAAACAGGAGTACAAAAAACTCATGAAGGGAATTAGCGTGAACATCTCCAGAACACTTAAGAAACCATCTGCTGTTTATCTACCTCCTCTCCTGTCATGAAAGTGGAAGGTCTACTTAATTAATTCTGTGCTTATCACACTCTTTCTTTAAAAGAAAATATATTTATTTGGCTGCACTGGGTCTTAATTGCAGCATGTGGGATCTAGTTCCTAATCAGGTATTGAACATGGGTCTTTGCATTTGCAGCGTGATGTCTTAGCCACGGGACCACCAGGGAAGTCTCTCATCACAGTCTTGTGGAGTGTAACAGGTCATGGACCTCCTCTGAGACCCCTCAGAGTTGAAGTATGTGATGGCTACAGTAATCCTTCTGTGGCTAAGATGTGGTTTATTGTTAATGACTTAATCTCCTTGCAAACATAGGACTTCCCCCTGTGTGTCTTCTGGTGTCTGATGAGATGTGATGTCTCACTGGAGCTTCCCCCACACTCTGTGCAAACATAGGGCTTTTCCCCTGTGTATGCCCTCTGGTGTCTGATTAGATTTAACTTCACACTGAACCTTTACCCACACTCCCTGCACACACAGGGCTTCTCCCCTGTGTGTGCCCTCTGGTGTCTGGTGAGATGTGACATCACACTGAAGCTTCGCCCACACTCCCTGCAAACATAGGGCTTCTCCCCTGTGTATGCCCTCTGGTGTCTGATTAGATTTAACTTCACGCTGAACCTTTACCCACACTCCCTGCACACATAGGACTTCTCCCCTGTGTGTGCCCTCTGGTGTCTGGTGAGATGTGACATCACAATGAAGCTTCGCCCACACTCCCTGCAAACATAGGGCTTCTCCCCTGTGTGACCCCTCTGGTGTTTGGTTAGATTTGACTTCACACTGAACCTTCACCCACACTCCCTGCGAACATAGGGCTTCTCCCTATGTGTGTCCTCTGGTGTGTGATGAGACTTGACCTATCCTTGGAGCCTTGCCCACACTCTCCATGCTTAGCTCATAATTTTTAAGACTCCTGCCCCTATGTGTAATTTGCCTGTGTCCTTTGTATTCACTTTCTAGCTTGTGCTTGGCTCTTCCATCATTCTCTCACATACTCAGGAATCCCCCATTTGTCCTTTGGGTGAGTAGGAAGAGGCCCTTGAAATCCTTCTCAGCCTTATGCTTTTCACCAAAGTTTGGGGCATTTCCTTGACCTCTCGATCCTCAGGTTTGTCACTTCAGCTGTGTGGATCAGAACTTCGCTGTTGCTGATTTTAATTGCCTGGGCAGGAATCATATGCTTGGAGGCGGTCTCTTGCAGGTGTTCTTAGGAGGATCTGAGAGAGGTGATTGCGTTCGACATGTTGGCTGAGGAATTTCTGACTGGAGAAGGCAGGGAGCAGGAGGCACATGGGTGGATTTTGGGCTTTGGTTCTGCCGAAAGAGGAAACTTTTGGTCAGGTAGCTGGTTTGTCACGGTAAGGCCTGCCCCACTAATCATCTTGGTGCTGACAGTGCAAGATCTGTCAACCACCAAGTGTGCCCTTCCAGTCCACTTTCCCACTCCATTCTTATTCTCTGCATCTTCTACAGAAATTCAGGAAGCTTGTGTCAAGGACCTTTTCTACATATTGCCCAGACTAGGGACCTTCCAGTAGCATCAGAGGCAGTGTCTCTCCTGATAGAGGTGGACCTGCAGGGACCTTTCCCTACGTATAAGTATCTGAAAATTCATGTCACCGTGGTCACAGGTATTTTATCCTACTGAGAGATAAGACTCTTGATGACTTAGGTGGAATCATCCTGAGTGGCTCCCTGTGAGGGGAAAAGGTCTATTAAGTTAGGGGTGCCCAGCCTAGAGCTCTCTGAATATGGGAGGCAGCACAGGGGGTGATGCTCTAGCATGTGCAAGTAAAGCTGAATTTGAGGGTCCTCATTCAAAGAGCAGCCTTTGTGTCTGGGTCTCTTCCCAAAGTGGGATTCAGACTGGATGAGACCGAGTGGCCCAGGTCCTATGGACTAGAGGTCTCTGGTTCCTGCTGCCCCCATTGGTTCATGAGTTACTTCTCTGTTTCCCATAAATCATAAAATGAAGATGTGTTCTTTCTCAAGCTTCACGAGTATTCATACCTCATTTATTTCATTCAGTCTAGTCCATTTAAAATGCACTAGGAAGTCCTGTTTAAAAATACATCTCCATCCAGACTCTTCACACCCTGCTGCTGCTGCTAACTCGCTTCAGTTGAGTCTGACTCTCTCTGACCCCATAGACGGCAGCCTACCAGGCTCTGCCGTCCCTGGGATTCTCCAGGCAAGAACACTGGAGTGGGTTGTCATTTCCTTCTCCAATGCATGAAAGTGAAAAGCGAAAGTGAAGACTCTCAGTCGTGTCCGACTTTTAGTGACCCCATGAACTGCAGCCTACCAGGCTCCTCCGTCCCTGGGATTTTCCAGGCAAGAGTACTGGAATGGGTTGCCATTCTTCACACCCTGACTCCCATGCATCTTTAACCAGCCCACTGTCCTCTCTCATCTGATGATGAAATGACCTCTGAAGGGATTCCCCACTGCTGTCTCTTCCCAAAAATGAGCTGAAGCATCGTCTTGGAACAGAGAACATGCCACTTGCAGCTGAAAGCTGCACGGTTGTTCCGTGTCACCCTGGGAGATTCCAGGTGCCTGCACATGAACATGGGCCCTGAGGCTTCCATGGTCCATCCATCCTCCTTCATCTCCCTCTGTGCTTCCGCCTACAACCACTGGCATGGCTTATCTTCCCAGCCCTGGGGCTATGGCACTGGCTGCTCCCCTGCCTTGAATCCTTTCCCACAAGTGTTACTTCTGGAGAGACCCTGCCCCATCATCCTCCACCACACCCCACCCTCTGTTCACACTGATCCAAGGCCCTTTTCCTGGACTGGTTTTCCTCATAGCACCAGCCCCTGTCTGGTATTAAGCACATGTTGCCCCAGAAGGTGGTTCTATTTGAGGGCATGGAGCCCAGTCTGGTACAGAGTAGAAACTCACATGACAATGAACTGAAACAGTGACTGACTGCAAATCAGTGTACACGTGTCATTTAGAAATGTGGAGGAAATGAGGAAGAAACCGCTAAAGGTGAGAGAGCTGGTAGGTGCTAGAAAATTTGCTTTTGGCCTCTAAGCCTTTCAGCAGAAGGTGATGTCATATATTTTTTGCATAAAATATTAAAAATTAGAACAAAAAATTTTAATATAATTTTTTCCCTAAAAGTCACATGATACAAATCAATTTCTGAGGCATTTTAATTGAGACTTGACTGACTTTACACTGGATTGTACTGTGCTTCAGAGCCAGACCAGGGAAGCTCCCTAGGATGGGGTGGAGTGCTTGAAGAGCAGTAGCGCTCACCTCTTCTGGCAGTGAGCTCATTCTTCCACCTGTTGCCACACTTGATGCCAAGCTCCTGGCTGTACTTGTCCCCGTAACAGACCAGCAGCTTGCAGCCCGGCCTGACCACCTGGCAGGTTCAGAAGAAGATCTGCCTGTGATTCAGGAAGGGTACCAGGTTCTGCTCCTTGTCCCAGGCACAGTTCACATAAGTGGGGTTGAGGCCAGGAAAGGGGAAGAAACCACAAGTGATGAGTCCCCTCCACCTGTCAGACCCAATCCCAGCTCCTGGCCTTCACTCTCTGAGGCCACCACAGACCACACCACCCCTCCTGGGGACTTCCTGTTCACACTTTTGACCACACCATGTGAATTCCTATTTCCAGTCCTCTTCCTGGCTGGAACGCTTTTCTCTCCTTACCTAATTAGCCATTTTCCAGAGCCCAGTTCCACATTTGTCTCCACCTGGACTGACCTTAGTAAGACTGGTGAGGTCTAGCTCCTCTGAACTCAAAGTTCTCATTCCACAGAACTTGGTATTTCTAGGCCTAGCACGCACTCCTTAGCACTCACCCCAGCCTGAATTCTCGTCCAAGGCCTTTCTCCAGTCTCCCCACTTGTATCCAGGGGTCCCATTCACTTGCTGACCCCTTCCCGTGGAAACTTGGAGAGTGCTCTGACTTAGCTCAAGACACAGAATAGTAATATTCACTTTCTGCCTCCCCTGATGAAAGGCCCTCAGAGAAAGGTCCTGACCCCCATTCCTTCCCAGGCCTCAGGGCCCACTTCTCACTGGAGCTTAGCCTGGGGAGGTTGCTGCCCTCATGGGCTCAAGGTCCCTCAGGTTATCCTGGTACAATTCTTCAAAAGTAGAAAAATTAAGGTTACATATTCCTAAAACCAGTTGGTTAATTTCTATCTGAAGTATGTCCTCCAAAAGGACACGGGTTGTGTGATCTGCTTCAGTAATGAATTCTACTGTCTAAACTGGAACACAGAAAGTGGTTGGTAAGGGTCAGTTAGGTGAGTTAAAGTGTCCCTGGTGAACCTACACTCCTCAAGTTGTTTTCAAGTACCCCAGTTTTGTTGAGCATAGAGACTTACATTTTGAGGGCATATACTACATTTTTATTTCTTTCATTCTATTGTCTTTTGAAATGAAAGAACGTAGTATGACGGAAAAAGAGGAAAGATGTGAAATCTATTGAAGGAGGCTGGTTGAGAAGGAAAGGGGTGTGGGCTTGAGGGAGGAGCGACCTTTATAACTTGCAGACTCACTGGACTCATCTCATTTAGTTGGCCCAAGATGTGTCCTTTCCATCCACATACTCATAGCAGTTTCTCCCTTTGGTGATCTGAGTGCCAAAAAAAGTGTTATAAACTTCTCTTTTTCTTTTTTGGTGGGAGGTAATAGAAGAGTTATTTCCCTCTGCTATCATCAGTGCTCTTCAGCCTGCATGAATTCAATTGCCAGTCGTGACCACGTGGTAAGCTCCTTAATCATCACCTCCATGTCTGAGTCTGTTGGTGCACTCAGGGCAAGGACTCCACACGGGAGGAGCCACTTCTGTGTGCCTGTGCCACTGTGCTTCCACCTCTCCTCTGGTCTTTAGATAGAAGTCCTGTGTTGATGCACAGTGCACAAAGTATACAGGGCTGACCATGTTATCCTCATCCACGTCCTCACATGTAGACGTGAGGTCCCCCGCTACATGCACAAGTGATTGGAGGTCAGAGGACAGGGAAAGAGGGATGTTCTCACCAGCCAGGAGTATCCACTGTTGGCAGCCTCTTCATCTGTAATCTGGCCCTTGTAGAGGCAAAGTGCAGGCCCAGCGGCAGATCAGACACCTCGTTCCACACTCCAAGCCCAGCCTCAGGGATACCTGATGGTCTGATACCTAACCCAGAAGGAAGACTGAGGGCTGAGCGATTGGCATGCACCTTTTCCACTGCTGAGTCATTTACAAAGGTTGGGAGCTCATGAACAGCACAGCTGTCAGTGAAGTTCTAACACTTCTTACAATCTGGAGGCGAGAGCAACGGGGATGAGGGGAGGTATAGTGATGTTGCTGGTCATAAAGAACTTCAGAATGAACCGGGGTGCTCACGGCATTTGGCCTTGATCCTGTACCCCAAATCATAGAGGAAAGGGATGATTGGGGGACCAAATGGTGAGGTTATATTATTGTGCCAAGGCCTCATAACCCCTTCTCCGTGAATGGGCCCATGGGGTCACTCATATAGGTAGTCGTCATCCTGGGGCTCGCTGACCTCTTGGTACACATGGCTCGCTCTTTCTCGTAGGCTGTACATCTTCACTTCAGTCTCCTTTCGAATGGGCCCGTGGGGTTACTCACAGAGGTAGTCGTCATATCCTGGAGCTCGCTGACCTCTTGGTACACATGGCTCGCTCTTTCTCGTAGGCTGTACATCTTCACTTCAGTCTCCTTTCTTCTGAGTTCTGAGTTGGAGAAGAGAAGCTGAGCAAGGCTGGTGGGGTCTGGAGAGTTAGATCCTGTTTGATCAGAAACTGTGATTTCACCCACCTGTTGATCTATATACTTTGTTAAAAATTTTTTTGCATTTATTTTTAAAAAATTTTATTTATGTATTTTTATTCGTTAATGTTACATTATTTATTGGCCGCACTGCATGGCGTGTGGAATCTTAGTTCCCTGACCCAGAATGGAACCCAGCATCCTGCAGTGGAAGCACAGAGTCTTAACCACTTAACCACCAGGAAAGTCGCTTCTCTGTACTTTGTTTTTCCTCCCTTTAACTATTGGTTCAGAGAGACTGACGCTACACACTGACTAAAGATGCCCAGTTTAATGTTAGCATCCTGTACTTCCTATTAGTAGGTTTAATTTCCCAACCTTATTATTTAGAAGATAGTTCACGGACACATCTACTCAGAAAATATATGTTGAGGGCACATTACAGATAAGGCATTGTGCAGAAGCCTGGGCATAAACACGAACAAAGCATAGCCCTATTATCACAGCTGGACTTACTGAACAACTTCAATGTGTCAACACTTTTATATTTAATTTAATGCTTTCAAACACTTTACAGTGTGTTTGAAAGCAATAAGAAGATTGCTTATCTTCACTTTACAGATGAGCAATCAGAACCTCAGAAAATTTGTAAGATTTTCCTTTCCAAAGGCCACAGTGCTAAACCAGATCAGTCCAGCTTAAACCCACACCTACCGAAAGTCTACCCTACATACCTGGGCCATAGTTGTTAGCCTTTCCAGAGGAATTAGTGGAAGTGAAATACCCAAATTATTTCCTCTTACCCACTTTTTGTCTGGGGTGCTGTTCAGAGGTACTTGCTTCTCTGGGAGGGGGCACTGGTATCTGGGCCTGCTTGGGGCCACTTGTCTTCAGCAATTTTGCTGCTCCTGGCAATTCCTTCTAGTCTAGGTTCGTTTCTTACTAGTGCCCTGGACATTCCCTTCTGTGTGAGAGTCACATAGTAAAAAAGAACATACATTTCTTTAGTTCTTTAGGACTTTATGAAGTGTTTTCCCAAGCATGATTTTAGTTAATACTTTGACAATTCTTGGAAATATCCAGTGTTGCAGGCGGAGGAGGAGCGGAGAGGAGGTCTGAACACTGGAGTGTAAATAAAGTGGGTAGTGAATCAAAGCTAGAACTCATATCTTAAGGTTCTTTCCCTTCAACTTTCTCCATAAAAGTGAGAGCAAGGCAGGGAGAATAGCTGGAGAATCAACAAGGTCAGGAAAGAAGAGGGTAGGGGCTCAGAGAAAACTGGGGTGGGGGGTGGGGTTTCTATTAAATAGTGCCCTTTGATGAATCCTCATTCATCAAAGGAAAACTACTACTCAGTGTGGAAAACTACTGAGGGGAAAAAACACATCTGGAAAATGAGGTGACAAAGCAGTGAGATTGGGAAGACAAAAGACGACTGGCAGAAACATACATAGACAAAGAAAATAAGCTGAAGCTTGCAGATTGCTATGTTCTAGAGACAATGTTTGGAATTAAAGTAGCTGGTCCCATCAATTCTGCTTGAATAAGGTTGTACAACTAGCTGGTTTTCCTGAGTTTGCTGATCCATAAATTGGTATACATAATAATTCTTAAATGTTATAGTGGACATGAAACTTAATAGCATTCAACAAAATGTTCTGTTATAGCCACGCCTTCTGGGAAAGAAACTCACTCAGAAGGACAATGCAGATAATGGAGTGCAGTTTATTACACTGGCGCCCAAGGCAGAGTCTCCTCTTAGCCAAGGACCCCGACCAGCACTTGGCCTCAGATGGAGTCCAGGCCCTATGAATTCGTCTTCACTGTGAGCTATTTAATACAGTATGAATGTGAGAGTCCATCTCTACTATCAATTTACCCCCTCAGCTGTCTGTATTTGAAGTTGGGCTCACAGATACTATCTTCAGCATTCCCAGGATTCCTTGACCTTCTTCCTACTAGGTGAATGTTTAAATGTGGATTCACTCATTCAGAAAACATTCAGGGGGCCCTCAGGGGCTGTTAGCTGGGACTGAGCTTCTAAGAATTAACAGATATAGGCTAGGCTCTCAAAGCTCACGGTACAGGGGCAGGCTAAACAAATTATTCTGTTAGGTAGTTAGAATAGGAAAAAGGAGTCCAGAATGGCGGTGACTAAAAGACACGGAAGGGAAAAGCCCCTGAAAACAGAACAAACGAAGGTCCAAGGACTGGAGTGAGGACCTCAGGTAGAACAAACAACACCCCTGGCTAGCCCAATTTACATAGGGTAAGCTCAGGGGGAGGAAACACCATGTAAAAAGAGGAGCCAAAGGGTTGGGGGTCTCTCTCTCCCCCAAGCGCTCGTTCTCTCTCTTTTCTTCGGTCTTTGGGTTGGCATGCCCTCACGCCTCGAGGATGTATTTTCCTCTTATTTTCTAAATAAAACTGAGCTGTGACATAGAGCTATAATGCTGATGTGTCCAAGAACTATAACACGGTCTGTTCGAGACCTGAGAGGTATAACATGGTCTGTCTGAGAGCTGTTAAATGCCGAGGCCTTAATGTCAATCGCTTCAAATTTTTGTTGAGATGAGACAGAACCAAGTCTCCTTGGTAATCTCTTACACTCCCCTGACATTTATGGTGCTGTGACTTGGGTTTAATCTGGCTGAAACAACCTGAGCGCAGTCCCCTTCAAGGAGGAGGCCAAGCACAGCAGGAGCCCAACTTGGTGAAAGCTCCTGAGGTAGAAGCGGAATGCGAAGAAAACCCAGCGCAGGGGAAGTGACAAGAGGCCCATCGTGCTGGAAACTGGGACAGGGAAAAACGAACTCAGCAGAAAGCTCACGCGACTCAGTCTCCGATTCCAGAAGACCTCCAGTTAAGGTAGGAGGTCCTCGCTCCTATGGCCGGAGGGACACATGCCTAACAAAATCTTAATTCCTTTACAGTCTCAACCTCCTGGAAACAGGTGGGTGGCAGTGGGTGCAGTTGAGGGACTCTGGAGAGGCTACTCTTTGGTATGTCCCAAAGGCACTACCTGCTGAGCCCCAGTAGCTATTACCCAAGCCAGTGGGGGTTCTTCTGTCCTTAATCTTCTTTGTGCCAAGGATCAGGCCAATGAAAGCTGGGAGCACAGGTCAGCTATTTAGCAGATTTTCCGGCAGGGTATGAAGGGGATTCCTTGGCACATTTTCCCCACTGCTTTTTCCTCCTGTCCTTTAGCTCTCTCTCCCGGAACTCAGAACCCAGCGAAAACCCAGGATGCCTGACTTCAGGACCTAATGAAACTCAGGCTCTGATGTCTCATTGCAAACATTCTCTCACATTGCAAACACTGTGAGAGACACAGTGACAGGTAAGAGGTGGATTTGTTAGGATCCAGAGAGAAGCACACTGCAGGGTGTGGGCTATTGCAGAGGGCTCTGGACAGGAATGAGGCCTGGCTAGGTTTTGCCAGCTGAGTTAATTAATATGCTAATGAGTGGGAGGATCATCCCAGCCATTGGGGAACCACCCACTCCTCTGTCTTTTGACAGTGACTTGGAGCTGGGTGTGTCATTTAGCTTACAGATTGGGGATAAAGGTTTACTTGAATTTTACTTGTCATCTTGGACCCAGTTGATTTTAATCAGTTTATGTTATGCCCTTGTGCTATGTCATTCTTTCAAAGGTTGTGCCCTGCCCCCTTCCCTCCTATTTCATACTTTTTTCCTGAGGCCCATTCAGGCCCACAAAGTGCCTCTATAACCTTCTGGAGGGACAACTAGAAAATAGCTAGCTCTTGGGAGGGAAATACTGTATAATATCCAATCCTTCTAGATATTCAGCACTTCATCTTCCATGTTTCCTACATGTGCAACATCAGCGTCTCTCAGTGAACCTACTGGGGTGAGAGACAGGCACACAATGCCTGCTAGAAGTTCATCAGTTGGCATCCCTTCAAAGGCAATTGGGTTTCCAGGGATAATGTTTGCCACTTTGGGAGTTAGCCTTGCAAGCTGTTTGGGCCCAAACCCTTACCACCCTTCTCCTAAAGTTATAAACATACCCCCGGATCAAATCTCTACTCCACTTTTATGGAACATCTGGTATGTTGCCTCTTAACAAATTTGTTCTTAAGCCAATTACTAACTCCTACAATCAAGACCCTGCCCCTTGTAGGCAACCTTGCCCCCTTGTTGCTCCACCTAGTCTATTATTAAAACACCTTAATGCCCCTAACAGGGCCAGATAACCCACTCCTTTGTCATTACTTCTTTTATTACGTAAAGTGGGTCTATGACAACAATGCTTACCAGGGGAGACACCCTAAACTGCTCTTATGGAGGACTAAGGGAAGAAATCAATGACTTAAATCCCTTAGAGTAGTAACAGGATAAGGCTTATGACTGTTTCACTGTTTCCCAGTCTCAGGACATAGGCTTGGATTGCTTTACATCATGATACCTATTCCCATCTGAACAAAATGAGTTAAAATTACAACCCCTTAATTCTACCCAGCACTGGTCATGCTGGAGACCTTGGGGACGCCCAACTTCAGTCCGGGGGTCCCAGGAGGTCAACCTGCCTTGACCTGCCTAGGGATCTGGTCCTCGAAAGATTGTCACGCCTCAACCTGCTTTTGTTCCGCCAGTCCAGGGGTCCCAGGAGGTTGTCACACCTTGATCTGCCCAGGGACCCAATTCTCGGGAGGCCAACCTGCCTTGACCTGCCTGGGGATTCAATCTCCAGGAGACTGTCATGCCTCAGCCTGCCTGGGGATCTGCACCCTGACCTGGGGACGCCTGGCTGTCAGGTTGCCACAGTTCTGGGTAAGATAAGCTTCAGAAAGACTCACCCCTAAGGAAGTCCACCCATGGAAACAGAAGGAAGCCTATTACTTGTGGGACTGTGCCCAGTCTCAGCAATAAGTCAGGAGCCCAACGAAACCCTGTTGCCTTTCTGGAAAGACTAAAAGAGGCCCTCCAAAAGTTTACCAATCTGGACTTAGACACTTAGGAGGGACAGGTGATTTTTAAAGGACATGTTCCTGTCCCAGTGTGCCATCAGATATCAGAATAAAATTACAACAGCTACAGCAGCAGGACCCTGCTTCCTCTTTAGATGAGATGGTCCAGACAGCCAGCAATACCTTTTATAACAGAGAACAGGAGAAGGAGGCCAAGGCCCAGGAGAGGGAGAGAAGGAAAGAGACAAGGCATGCCCAGATGCTGGCTGCCCTCCAGGGAAGCCCTGTGGCAAACCCCGAGTCCTTAAAGGACAAGGCATGAGGCAAATGCCTGATCTGTAGACAGGTGGGGCATTGGGCCAAAGAGTGTCCAAACCTATACAAGTCTGCTAAAACAGCTTGCTACAAATGCCATCAACTGGGACATTGGGTGGCACTCTGCCCTTGGGACCCAAGAGCCTCAAGGTCAAGTGCCAAGCCTTCCCTCATGATGTTCAACAGCACTGAAGCGGCCCGCTCCAGCCAGCCCACCTGTCATAGATGACCATCACAGGGCTAGAGCCAAGGGTGCAACTGGATGTGGCAGGTAGGTCCGAGAATTTCTTGGTTGACATGGCAGCTACCTACTCTGTCTTGATCTCCTACTCCAGAGCCTTCTCCTCCCAAACCTGTACCATTTTGGGTGCTACAGGAAAAACAACTACTAAAAGAGTCAACTGAGCACTTCTTTGTTGCTGGGATGGACAAATATTTTCCCACCAGTTTCTGGTGGTCCCTTAGTGCACTACTCCTTTATTGGGAAGAGAGATACTCACTAAACTGGAGACCACCCTTGTGATGGGAAGCTTTTCAGCCTCTAGAGCCCTACAGCTTCTGGTTACTACTGAAGAACCCATTACACCCTCTCCAATAGAGAGGGACAAAAAACTATGAGAGGACAAAATTAACTCCCAGGTGGGGGACAAGGGGACTCCTGGATGAGCCCACCAAGCTGAACCGGTTATCATTGTCCTCCAAGATCTCACTCGGTTTCCCAACTGGAAACAATATTCCCTCAGAAGAGAGGCTCGGGAGGGACTACAGTCTTTAACAAATAAATTCCTTGCTTGTGGGTTATTGGTACCCACCAATTTGCCATGTAACACTCCAGTCCTCTCAGTAAAGAAGAAGGGTGGAACCTGGCGAATGGTTCAAGATCTCCCAATCATAAATGAAGCTGTAGTCCCCCTCCGTCGCACAGTATCCACTCCCTGTGTAATCTTGGGAGAAATCCCACCCAGTGCCAAGTGGTTTACAGTCTTAGATCTCAAAGATGCATTTTTTTTTGCATACCACTGGCTAAAGAAGCCAAATATCTTTTTGCCTTTGAGTGAGAGGCCCCAGGAGAAAAAACGCCAACAGATAACTTGGACAGTATTACCTCAGGCGTTCAGAGATAGCTCCCACCTGTTTGGACAGGCCCTTAGCCGGGGTCTCCTAGATCTGGACCTGGGACCTCATGGGAAAATACTACAACACGTAAATGATCTACTAATCTGCTCTCCAGATGAGAAAAATGCCCAACAACATGCAATTCAGGTTTTAAACTTTTTGGCAGAGGATATAAAATCTCCCATGCTAAGGCACAGATGGTCAAGACAAAGGTCGCTTACCTGGGAGTTCAGATTACACAGGGGTCCAGGAGGCTGTCCTCTGATCGGGTACAAGGAATCCTCCAGTTGCCCTCCCCCACAACTCGAAATCAATTGCAATCTTTCCTGGGGCTAACTGGATATTGTAGAATCTGGATACCCAACTATGGTCTAATTGCCCAGCTTAAAGGGACAGGATGATTCAATCCCACTTATGTGGGGAACTCCTCAAAAGAAGGCAGAGGCTACACTAAAAGAAGCCTTAACTCAGGCACCTGCCTTGAGGTTGCCAGACCCAGAAAAAGCATTCCAACTTTATGTCCATGAAAGAAAGGGAATATCCTTGGGAGTGTTAACTCGAAGGTTGGGATCTGAGCCCCAGCCTGTAGCTTGCTTATCCAAGAGGCTCGACCCAACTGCTTGAGGCTGGCCCCCCTGCCTTCGAAATCTTGTAGCTATTGCAATCCTGATAGAAGATGCTTTGAAACTCTCTTTTGGGGGCAAACTATTTTTACCAGCCACCAAGTGAAACAGCTCCTAAATAGGAGAGGCCATTATGGATGTTTGATCAAAGAATTCTCAGATATCAAGTAGTGCTAATGGAAAATCCAGGTCTCACTATATCCCCTTGTGAGGTTCTTAACCCAGCCACCCTCCTGCCTACCCCAGAGGGCTCTCTCCGCTTTTACTCTTGTCTAGAAACCTTGGATCACTGGACAAAACCCCGAGAGGGATTGTTAGAAGATCCTCTGATCAATCCTGAGGAAATCCGGTTCACTGATGGAAGCAGCTTTGTCTTGGATGGAAAAAGAAGAGTCGGATATGCAGAAGTCTCCAGTTTTGATACCATAGAGGCTAAGCCTCTGCCACCAGGTAGTTCAGCCCAATCAGCTGAGCTCATAGCCCTGACTTGAGCTTTAGAACTGGGAAAAGGAAAAAGAGTAGCCATTTACACTGACTCCAAGTATGCCTTTCTGGTGCTACATGCACATTATGCTATTTGGAAAGAAAGGGGCCATTTGACCCACCCAAGGGTTCCCAATCAAATATGGTGATCAAATTCTCAGGCTCTTGGAAGCAGTCCATCTGCCCACTGAGGTTTCAGTCTCCCACTTTAAAGGACACCAAAAGGGAGCACAGAAGTGGCACGAGGGAACCAAGCAGTTGATCAGGCAGCTAAGAGAGCAGCATTACAGAACAATGACCTAATATGGGTTGCCACCTTAGTTTCACAGACTAAATTGCCAGAAACTCCTTCATATACTGAAGGTGAGACTCTTAAAGCTAAGAGTGAGGGCTTCCAAGAAGGTCATATGGGGTGGTTCCAAAAGGAGAGACACTATTTGTGCCTGGAAACCTCCAATGGAAGTTGGTTAACTCTTACATGCCACCACTCATTTAAGGGAAAAGGCCCTCCAAAGATTACTAGAAAGGTCCTTCAGAGGAACAGACTTCCAAACAACTATAAGTCAAGTGGTCTCCTCTTATCTCACTTGTCAATTAAACAACCCCCAAGGAGCTTGAAGAGCACAGCTGGCCCAGCCCATCTGACGACATGGGGCCTACCCAGGAGAGGACTGGCAGATGGACTTCACCCAGATGCCAGTTTCTCAAGGGTATAAATACTATGTTATGATAGATGCATTCACAGGATGGATTGAAGGCTTTCCTACCCAGACCGAGAAGGCTGAAGAGGTGGTAGAAAGAAGAAAAAAACTGCTCCATGAAATCATTCCATGATTTGATCTGCCCAGGTCATTACAAAGTGACAATGGGACATCATTTACTTCTAAGGTCACCCAAGGGGTCTCTAAACCATTGGGCATTACTTATTATCTCCATTGTGCCTGGAGGCCTCAGTCTTCAGGAAAAGTAGAAAGAGCCAACCAATTCTTTGGGCATTACTTATTATCTCCATTGTGCCTGGAGGCCTCAGTCTTCAGGAAAAGTAGAAAGAGCCAACCAATTCTTAAAATCAGTGATAAAAAAGAAACCCAGGAGACCTCCCTGGGATGGAAGCAATTTACCAATAGCTCTCCTCCACACCCGCATTACCATTAAGGAACATGTTGGTCTTAGTCCTTATGAGATGCTATATGGGAGACCTTTTGTTTATGTCAATGACCTCTTTCTAGATCCAGAGGCCAGACCCTCCAGTCTTATACCATGGCCATTGGGCAATTCCAACAGGATATACGCTCGTGGGGTGTGAACTCCAAAAGATTCTAAGGATTCACCACTATATGCTCCAGGGGCTCACGTCCTAATTAAAGTCTGGAAAACTGGGTCCCCAAAGGCTCAACTCCAGCCCACATGGATGGGCCCCTACCCTGTAATACTTTGTACCCCCACAGCAGTCAGGGTACCAGGACATGACTCCTGGATTCACTACTCACGAGTCAAGCTGTGGAAGAAAACAGAAGAGGACACTCAATACACCTGTGAGAGAGATCTCAGACACCTATTCAGAAATATAAATGAGTGCCATTCTAATGAACACCCCCAAAATCTAGTTTCTGGGGATAGGATTTCTCAGGATAGCTCTAAAGAGCCAACAGCTTGCCAGGGGTTGTACTCCAAAACAGACAGGAGATAGATCTTCTGATCCCTGAACAAGGAGGGACTTGAGCCATCCTGGCAATGTGAATTTGGAATTGGCTAATGCCCCTACTAGTCCTTTTATGCCATATTGATGCTGCTTATGATTGTCCATGTATTATCAATTGCCTAAGCTGTTCTGTCTCTGCCTAGGTCAACAAGCTACAACATGCAGTGCCAGTTCAACAAAGATACATAAAACTACAGCCGACCACGGAAAATATCACTCACCCTTAGATGGACACCGCTATAAGGACTCTGAGGCCTGAGACTAGCAAGAGGGGGAGGCCCAATACCCCTCGCCGTCCCAGTTCAGCAGGAAGTAGCCAGAAAGACCTCGACGCCCCTATTCCCAAAGAATTGGGCCTCCTATCTCTTGAGGGGGTAATGTTAGGTAATTAGAATAGGAAAAAGGAGTCCAGAATGGTGGTGGTTAAAAGACAAGGAAGGGAAAAGCCCGCAAAAACAGAACAAAGGAAGGTCCAAGGACGAGAGTGAGGACCTTGGGTAGAACAAACAGCACTCCTGGCTAGCCCAATTTACATTAGGGTAGGCCCGGGGGGAGGAAACAACATATAAAAAGAGGAGCCAAAGGGCCGAGGGTCCCTCTCTCCCTCGAGTGCTCATTCTCCTCTTCGTGTTTTTGGGTCGGCATGGCCTCACTCCTCAAGGATGTATTTTCCTGTTATTTTCTAAATAAAACTTGAGCTGTAACACAACTATAACGCTGATGTGTCCAAGAGTCATAACATGGTCTGTTCAAGACCTGAGAGCTATAACATGGTCTGAGAGCTGTGACACGCTGAGGGCTTTTATGTCTGTCACTTCAAATTTTTGTTGAGATGAGACAGAACCGAGGAGACTTAGCCCCCTGACAATTTCATGTATAAGAGTTGCCTAATCAGAGCTCAGAGGAAGGAGCTATTACATCCTTCTACAAGAATGAGCATTTGAAATCAGTTCCAGGTGATGTTTCTGCTTCTACCTATGTGAAGTCCTTCAGTTATTTTCTTATATGTTGTTTTTCAGTCATAAAATCTGAGACTTGTCAGAGTTGGGAGTTGATTCCTCTTTCTTACTGAAGTAGGAGGCTCTGAGGTTGGGGATCCTATCTCCTTCATCTTGGACCATCTGCTCTAAATTTTGCAGTGTATCTGTAAGCTTCCCTTAGTTGGATATCTTAGTATATCCCTCACTTTAGCACAGCACGAAAGAACTGAGGTTGAAACCATCCCTCAAATGAATGATATAAAGATGTATGAATAAGAGAGTGTAAACTTTATAGAATTATGGAAGTTTTAAGCAGCTGGTTGGTAAGGGGTTTAGAGAAGGTGCTTTGGATTAGATTGCATGCACTACCAGTGATACTGTGATCTCAGGCATATAGTCAAAATATTTCTTTACCACAGTTGTTTGATGTATAAATGATGATAGTTACAGTATCTACCAATAAGTACTGTAGGATTGTTTTAAGGTTTAAGTAAGTTTATTCAAGTAAAATGCTTAAAGTTTGAAATACTGTGAAAATAATGTAACAATGGACAGTCAATTATTGTTGCTATTCTTACTGACTGTAAAAATGGTGATGATATCAGACATTGTGTGAAAGACACAGCACAGGAAGGCAGCAGTCTCTAGGATTTCTGTGTATTCTCCTATTCTTACCTGTGATTGGATCCATGAGGAGGGTTTTCTTGTCAACAGGATTTGGGAAATACTCACCTTCTCGTGTTTACTGTGCTTCACTCTGAAGGTCATCCAAGAAGGTTTACCTTAAAAAATGATGAGAATCAGTGTTTTGGTTGGTAAATGTTTCCAAACTCTGGGCATTCTAATTAAGAACACAGAATTCTGAGCCAGAGAGTGACAAGGACAAGGATTACCAAAGGAGGATAGTAAGTGATTTCTGCACCATCAACTACTGAGAGAGTCAGTTCCTAGGCAGGTTGATAAGAAGTCTAGGGGTCCCCATGGAGAGAGGGGTTTGGAATTCTCAAGGAGGAAGAAAGGACAAACTTTTTTCCCCTCTACATTCCTTAGGATTATATAACAATAATGTATCCTGCTTGAGGACAGTCTCTGGAAAAAACCTTCTGGCTAATTCTGTTATCTCAAAATGTAAATCATGGGAGCAGGTCTGGTGAGGTCTTTACAACCTCTAGACATTCTTTTGATTCACTGTAATAACTAATAATATATAATTCCAGTATATAATTCCACTGCTAAGGCTAGCAAGGGGGTACCCCCTTCTGATGTCTATGTCAGAAGCTTTCTCTATCTACTTTATACTTCAATAAAACTTTATTGCACAAAAGCTCTGAGCGATCCAGCCTTGTCTCTGGCCCTGGATTGATTTCTTCTCCAACGGAGGCTAAGAACCCCGGCGTCTTTGCGTGATTCAGAAACAACCTTTCACTACTATGCTTCCACTAGGCGCATCACATAATTTTCTTAAAGTTAAAAACGACAAAACTTCATCTGTGCTTCATCTGATGTTCATAAAGTAATAAATTTACTAGCCTTTCATGACAAATATACTCAGCAAAGTAGGAATAGAAGGAAGTGACCACAATATAATAAAACTCATATATGAAGAGTCTACTTCTAACATCATATTCATCAGTGAAAAGCTGAAAACTTCTAAGATCAGTAAAAAAAAAAGGCAAGGATGCCCATGCTCAACAACATTCAACATAATATTAGCAATCCTAGCCAGGGCATTAGATTAGAAAAGGAAACAAAGTGCTTCCAATTTGGAAAGAGAGAAAATTACATCTGTTCACAGAGGACATGACTTTATGTGTAGAAAAGTCTTTAAAATACCACAAAAAACTTGCACAGAAAGTTGCAGGGTACAAAGTCAACATTCAAATATCTTTCCATGCATATTTGAATGGAAAATTCATTGTTCATTGACCATTCCAAATGGAAATAAGCAAACAGTCCTATTTAATTTTTTTAAAGCTATAGTCAAGAGCTAAGTTTAAATTTAAAAAAAAAAATATTTTTATTTATTTATTTGTGCCAGATCTTCATTGTGACATGTGGGGTCTTTAGTTGTGGCATGTGTGATCTAATTCCATGAACAGGGATTGAACCCAGGTGCTCTGCATTGGGAGTGTGGAGTTTTAACCACTGGACCACCAGGGAAGTCCCAACAATCTTCTTAAGGAGATGAAAGACTTAACTGAAAACTACAAAGTGTTGCTGAAAGAAATCTGACACAAGTAAATAGAAAGGCATCCCATGTTTATGGATTTGGAGACATTATTAAGCTGTTCATACTACCCAAAGAAATTTAAAGATTCAATGCAATTCCTATAAAAATCCCAATGGATTTTTTTTTCAGATATAGATAAATCCATCCTACAGTTAATATGGAATCTCAGATGACCCCCAGATAACCAAAACAATCTTAGAAAGAACAGCAAAGCTGGAGGCTGCTGATTTCAGAACATATTACAAAGAGTGTAGCAGTGGCATAAAGTGTGTGCTAAGTTGTTCAGTCATGTCCAACTCTTTGTGACCCTTTGGACTGTAGCCCACCAGGCTTCTTTGTACATGGTGTTTTTCAGGCAGGAATACTGGAGTGGGTTGCCATTTCCTTCTCCAGAAGATCTTCCTAGCTCACAGATGGAACCTGTGTCTCCTGCATTGAAGGTGGATTCTTTACCTGCTGAGCCACTGGGGAAGCCCACTGGCATAAAGACAGACTTATCTATCAATGGAATGGAAGAGATAGCTGGAAGTAAACAAACTCTTGGATACATGATCTAATGATCTTCATCAAGGATGTGAAGACAATGGGGAAAGCTTAATCCCTGTAATGAATGGCGCTGGGAAACAAAATATCCACATGCAAATAATGAAGCCCTTACATCATGTAGAAAAATCAACTCAAAAATGTAAGACTTGAAATGATAAGACTCTTAGAAGAAAACAAGGGTGAAACGTCATGAATTTAATCAGTAATGATTTCTTAAATATGATACTAAGTGCACATGTATTAATAACAGTAAAATTAGACAAATGGAACTCATTTAACTTAAAACTTATGTGCAGCAAAGGGGACGATGAACAGAGTGAAAAGGATGGCAGAAAATATTTGTAAAATATATATCTGATAAGGGGTTAATAAGCACATACCTATATCAAGGCTACCTATAAGCCAGGAAGAGAACTTGATTAACCATGATGGCACCCTGAGATCAAACTTTCATGCTCCAGAATTTAAAAAAACAAATTGCTGCAGTTTAAACCACGTGGTCTGTTTTGTTATGGCAGCCTGAGCTGACTAACACAGTGGGAGAAGGAATTAAATAGACATTTCTCCAAAGAAGATATGCAAATGACCAACAAACATATGAAAATATGCTCAATATTACTAATCAATAGGGAAATACAGAATAAAAGTACAGTGGAGATTACCTCATATATTTTATGATGGCCAGTATGAAAAAAAAATAATAGCAAGTTTGGTAAGGATATGGAGAAACTTACACACTAACACACTTACTATTGTTGGAAATGCAAAATGTTGCAACCTTTATAGAAAACGGTATGGAGTTTCCTCTGAATATTAGAAACAGAACTGCTATATGATCTAGCAATCCGACTCCTGAGTATATATTTATAAAAAATTGAAAACGAGATCTTAAATAAAATATATGCACATCTATATTCACAATTGGCAAGAAAACCTATACATCCACCTTCATTCAGACTTACGTCAATACTCTGCCACAACCACTTCAGGTCTTTTAATTTCTATTTCAGAATTCAAAAATAAGATAAAAAAAACCTAACCAACACACAGTGAAGCCACCTGCCAGCCCTTACTCCTCTGGTACTGAATTTGGTACTTCTTACATTTAGATTTTTAAATATTTTCTATTTTTAATGTATAAGTAAGTATATATACATATGTCTATATATATAAAATTTGTTTCAAGAAAAGGTCTCATTTATTACTGAGCCAAAGCACCAGTGCAGAAACACTGACACAAAGAGAAATCATTTTTTCAGTGAAACAAATGGATGCATTAATGATGTTTTCAGAGTGATATGGTAAGATGCAAGTGACCTTGACAGCACAAATGTGTGTGCCACTTCATGTGTGGCTCCTTATAGACCTATAGCTTTGTTTTTCTGCAGTATCTTAGAGTTGTATCTGCTTTTATTACCAGTTTTCATTA